ACAATGTTCAACGAAAAAACCTGAGAAAAAGAAAAAGGTAAAAAATAGATGAAAAAATAAGCGAAAAATCAATCAAGCTTTGACTTTATTTCTGAAATTTAAAAGCTTCTCTTTTAAAACATATATTGCAGACTATGAGAAGAATATCAAGTGAAGTGATGGAGGGGTGAGTGGGGAGGAGAGTAATGCACAAATTAAATCATTAAACAATAACTAGAAATATCAACCTATAAAATGCAGTGTTCAAATGTCATGATTTCACTAATTCTTCAAAAAAAGTTGGTATTAAATTAATCTGCTTAAAATATTTTCAACAAAAGATTTAAAAATCACAGTGTTTTGAAAATAAAGATGAATACTTGATTTACACATATCTATGCAGTTATAACTCAAATTTAGTATCTAAAAAAATCATTTTGTTAGTTTTTCTACAAGTTCAACTATTTTTGGGGTATCTACCAGTCCTTGGAATTGTCCTACAATCTGACCATTCTTTATTCCAAGAACAGTAGGTACAGCATTGACCTAAAATGAATTATATAAACACTATTTAATAAAAATTTTGGACTCTTTCTATTTTGAAACCATTCCAAGTTGTTTCGTAATCTCGYCTTAACACTTCATCCACACAAATTCACAGCATATAGACCATTTCTAAATTTGTACGTCAATTTGCTAAGCCTGTGCAAAWGKRGTCTGTRGTCTTCAAAAACAGCAGTATGCATTGAATATGAAACTGGTGTATTCTGGATGGACATTGTATGACAAACAGCCCTTACTTTAAGCCTTGGATTACTAAACACCATTTATGTACTGTATGGCATTAAATACTCACTCCATACTGAAAGGCTAATTCTCCTTGCTCATCGACATCCACTTTGGCCAGTTCAACCTTGCCTTCTTGATTGGCTACTGCTGCTTCTAATTTTGGAGCCAAAGCCTTACATGGACTACACCAGCTAAAGCATAAAAACAGTTTTTTTAAAGGAGGAMYKRAWTTTTKTTGCTGTAATTATTATAAGTTACATTATAAAGGGCTTGTTATGTTGTTGATTTTGGGGGGGGGGGGGGGGGTTCAGTAAACCAACCCTTACGTTAACCCTTGTTTGGGGAACACTACTCTTTCTAACCTCTACTCTCCTCAGACCATCACCACCCATTAAAAAACTCTCCCTCCATGGGGGAGGTATTGATATTTTCTGAGAGCACACATGCATTATACCCTCCTCAGACCCTCTCCAACTCCCTTGGAAATTCTAATCACCCTCCATGGGTGAGATATATGGATATTTTCTGAGAGTACACATGCAATACACCCTCCTCAGACCCTCCTTTTACATCTGATATCTTTAGTATTTAAACAGGATATA